AAAAAATACTACTCTTTTTACGACATGTCACAAATAGTCACTTCCCTGACACGCTGGGGTATTTTATGCATATGTATATTTATACCAATAAATGATTTTACAAGTGGAATTCAGCCCGCTGCCGTGGCGTTTTTACGTTTGGCTTGTGGTGACGAACGTTGCTTTTGGGTCCAAGATCCAGGAGCACCCGGTTCCCAGGGACTCACGCCGGCGACGTCAGCGTCCACGAAGCTGCTGCTCCTGCCACCTGCTCGCACCCGGGAAGGAGCCAGGTCACGCGGGACTCGAGTGCGAACCAGGGCGTGACCTGAGGTGTTTACCTGTTAAGGGAAAGGGAGTTAGCGTGTGATCCCATGTTGGTGCCTGTAAACGCCCCCGGAGGACGTACACCAGTGAGTTACTGCCCTTCGTTGTCTCTGGGTGGTCAAACTATGGGGGAGTCTTTCTTTTCTCATTTTCTGAGCTACATGATTTAAGTGATCTTTCGTATTCATGTGATTACAAAAGAAACAAAAGGGTATATATTATATGTATATATATATTAAAGCATTTGCTCTAGTTCCGGTATTTTTTTTTTATGACAAACACTGTCCAATTTCTTTTCGTCTACTTCCTCCGCCCTTGGGAACTGGGTGGTGTTCAAGTGAGGCCATCCCCTAATTCTAAGGGGCACTATACGGTCTGTGAGGGGTCCCCCTGTTTGAATGCTCGGTAGCTACTGGGGGTGATGCCAAAGGAAGCCTGTGTGCAGTCCCAGCCGGAAACACCATTCTGACTTTGTAAAAAGATGCAGATATTCTACTTGTTTTTTCTTTTTGGTTCTCTGAGTTTTTTCAACATCCTGTCTTCTAACTCACGGATCCGCCCCTCAGCTTCCCCTAATCTGCTGTGTGCTCCTCCCAGTGTGTCCTTCATCTGTGCTGTGTCGTTCTTTCTGTTTTCACAGTTACCACATCTTTTCTCGTGCTGCTGAGCGTCTTTACCATCATTACTCTGAACTCGGTTCCAGATAAGCTTCTTATCTCTGCTTCATTTATCCCCTCTTCCGGAGAATTCTCTTGTTCTCTCGTTTGGGCGTTGTTTCTTTGTCTCCCCGTTTTGGCTGCCTGTGTGGGTTTGCTCTAACTCGGAGTTCGGTGCGTGCGTCAGGGTTAATTAGCAGTGCTGCGCGTGCCGGCCACGGACGTGTCTGGGACCAGGGGCCTCGTTAGCCGAGCTAATGAGGGAGCAGGAAGTCACTGTGGGAGGAAATGAAATCGGCCGCGACAACAAGAACCACTCAGCGCCACCCCGAGCTTCCGCCGGCCGCTGTGAAAACCGACCAGAGTCACGTATACATTCGAACCTCCTTTTGAAAGTGATAGGAACTGATGGAAAATCATACGAATCCCCCCAAAGTCTCTTCCTTCCCAGGCTGTCCTTCAGAGAAGCCACACCCAAGTGATAAAGAGACCAGGATGGAAGCAGCGGGAACGGGGAGGAAGCGGCGAGGCAGCGGTTCCACTGTAACCCAGGGAAGCGTTTAAAAACATCAGCGCAAAGTCCTCGCTCCCGGCCGTGCCAGGCAGGTCTCCGTGGACGGGGCCACGTGAACCGTTTATCTCGGGTTGACTTCGGCTGCGTTGTTTGCTTTACTCCGGGTTTCTGGTTGGACAGCGGGCCTCTCGGGTTAGTCACCCCGCCCCCCCCCCAGGCCCAGCACCCCCTTCCCAGCTGGGAGAGCCTCCCACCTCCTGGGGGCTCCCAGCTCCTGCTGATCCTGTCTCTTTAAACGCCTTCCGGTGGCTCTGTCTCGGTCCAGGGTTCGGATGGTTTTCCCCGAAGGAAATCTCTGTATGAGAGAATGCAAGGCACCGAACCTGACCCCCCAGTCCCATGACAGATGTGGGTACCCCTCTCCGCTCCCCCCCCCAAACTTCATTTCTAAATCAGGTCCAAGGGCCCTAACGGGCCACCTCCTCAACCCTTTAACCGGGAGCTCCCTCTAGGAAACACTTGAGCCCGGCCTGCGTGGCTCAGGGGTTGAGCATCGACCTAGGAACCAGGAGGTCACGGTCCGATTCCCGCTCAGGGCACAGGCGGGGTGGTGGGCTCCATCCCCAGTGTGGGCCGTGCAGGAGGCAGCCCATCCATGATTCCCTCCATCGCTGATGTTTCTCCCTCTCCCTTCCTCTCTGAAATCCATAAAAATATATTAAAAACAAAACAAAACCCTTGAGACACAAGTTTGGAAGTGAGTCGGATGGAAGGGGGATGTTTCCTGTGAGTTTGAGAAGTTTTAAGGGTGAAGGCAGGGACCATGGACGCTGCCTACCCCCCAGCCCCGCCCCCAGAGGGAGAGGACCGGGAAAGGGGGGGGACAGGGAAGGGGGGGGA